AAATTCCCCCCAAATGCTTTAGATCTTGTTAGAGCAGCAGGAAACAAGAATGGGAGAATGTACTTTAATTTGGAGGATGGAGATGCTAAACATGGCTCAAAATCTTTAATGATTCTCACTGCCCCTTTGTTAGAATACTAATATTTGGAAAAACAGCACCTGGTCCCAAATTATTTTTCTTTACTATGGAGTATCCGCCCCGTATTAACACTTAATTTTGGGATCTCCCGGGCCCGAGGCAGACCTGATGTCTGGTCACAAGCCAAGATTGTATAGTGGTGACGTGGCTGAGAAATATCTTCCATAATTAGATTGCTGGTCAATCCTTTTTGACTGTCTGGAAGCATGATTTGGTAACGATGAACCAAGTAATCAATCAAATCTCTACGAACCCTCTCAAAGAAGTTGTTTAAATTTGCCCATGTGGTATTGTTACACCATTTGCATGTCGGAGACAAAAGTGATCAAAGAGAAGAATTTTCATTTTATAACCGATGCTGAAGAAAATAGTATTGCTGATAAAATATTCTGAAATGTAAAATATAATAAGATATTGTGAAAGTACATTTTAAAAAGTAGCATTATAATATTAATAATTCCACAATATGGAAATGGATCCAAATCTGTGTCATTGAATGAATATTAGGACTGGCCAGCATTTGCCAGTTTCCTATAAAATGGCTTTTTTAAATGGCAAATTTTTAACGAAAAAAATTGGGGTCCCCCTCAATTAAGGTTGAAAATATCTTGGCAAGGTATTGACATTTTTTTGTTTACCATAGTTTAGTAAGGAAAATGTTGATAAACTTTTTCAGTATTGCTTCAGAATTTTCTAAATAGTAAAAAAGAAATTAAATCATTCAGGCTTTTAAATTGCAGAACATCTCTCAAAAATTAGTTTTTGGATTTCTCAACTAGCTCTAAATGCCATAGCAGCAGCATCTGCTACAAGGCATACAACCCCTATCATGACTCTGTTCTTTGTGTATTAATGAGACAGATATATTTAGACATTCCCAATCACATCATCTTGTATTTCTGTTCCATAGCACAATTACTGTTAACCTGTTAAATGTTTTTCATGCCAATATATTGTATGGTTAGCCGGAGTTTAACTAAATACAGGTCAATACTCAAGCTGTCATTGATTATATAGTTCTACCAGCATTTTTCGAGACTGAAAATCTTGCACATGCTTAATCATCATTTTTGAAAAAGGGACTTCTACCCACCTTTAAATTCAATTGCTATATGTTGAGGTTTATAGCTGCAAATGTGAAAGGAGGTAGTTAGACTGTTCACTCATACTTATGTGTCGTTCAGCATCATCGTTTATTTCTCTTTGTCATGAAATATTTAATATGGGAGTTGCGTCATGGCCCAGAAACACGTAGAACAGCGGTTCTCAAACTTTTTGGGCTACGGAGCCCTTTACACGTGTCAAAATTTATGCGGAGCCCCAGCGGTCCACTGATTGTATGTGTTGTACCTATCAATGTTTCCATTTTGGCAACCTCGCGGAGCCCCTGGAGATGTCTTGTGGAGCCTTGGGGCTCCGCAGAGCACAGTTTGAGAAACACTGATGTAGAGGAAGGATTCCTAAATAAGGGTGGTGACGTTTGTTTCCTGAAAACTCACTCTTAACAGTGTAACTTCCAGGACTAATGAGACTCCAAGCTTTCCACTAGTCAAGCTTAATAGACAGCATTGCACTAGAGAGAGATCATTTGCTGCCGAATTATCTATTGGTCAAGGAGTCCTGTAATGCCAGAGAAAACGCATAAACAAACCCTGCAGGGCAAAAGAAAAACAGAGTTTGGAAAAGAGATTTGTAAGGACAATGTTTATTTTAAAAGGCGTTTTATAACAGTCTAAAAGGGAGGCGTTAACACACTTGGGCAGGCGGGAAAGATAATCCACATTGCCCACACTTCCGTAGTTGGATAACTCATGCACAACCGTTGCAAAAGGAATGGACGATGAAGAAGTGTTTGGATCAGCCAAGGATGTGCCAGCTCTACTCTGCTTTGAGCATACGTCATTTATTTTTTATCATTTTTAATGCTTCTGCAGATGAGCCGTTTTCTCTGCTGTAAACTGTTAGAACCACAGAAAACACAATGCTTAATCCAAACCTCATTTTAGAGACCACGTAGACCAGTGGATCCCAACTGCTGGTCCGCAGACCGGTACCAGGCCACGGTGGCTGCCAGAGCAGAAGCTGGCTGTTTGCAGCAGCTCTTGGGGGCCAGGGCTTTTGGTGAAGTGGTAACATTTATTTGCATATTCATTATTTGCATAATAAATATTCAAGTATGCAAATAAAGTGTTCCCAGGCTGCCAAAAGTTTGTGAATGGGTTTGCCGGTCCACAGTATAAAAAAAGGTTGGGAACCTGGCACAGACAACCATGCAAACATGGCAGCCTTTGATAAACATGACTTTAGGAACTTCTCAGACGATCCTTGACGTAAGGTGGTTGTCAGCTTGTACTGTGTTCCCAGTCTGATGCTAGAAAGTTTCTTCTTTTTTTCTCCATCGGATGTTTTAAGCCAAAAATCTGGGCTGAGTGACTCTGAGGCTATATCTAAACCGCCCTGTAGTTTGGACTAGTAAGATATGTGTGACTAGCACCGAAGTGCTGTGAACGGTGTTAATGCGAACTAGCAGTCCTTTCGTTCGTCCCTACAGCTTCTCCACAGGGAGTTACAGGGCTGCTCTTTGCTCTGCAATCGGAACTCTGAAATGGAGCGCGATGCTGACTTGGTTTATAAAACACCAAGTGATTTTTGAGGCCTGAGTTTCCTGTGATGACGAGTTGATCCCATCACTTCTACAACTTTTTCCCACAGTTCACATTTCCCACATGCTACATCCCAGGTTGCTTCAATCACATCGTGTGATGCGGGACGTAAGCTTGTCAGCACCCTTCTTTTTGCATAGGTGGCATGAGGGAGCTCAGTGTGAAACTGGTATCTTGGCCCAAAAAGCTGCAGAGAAGAATAGCAATTTACTAAAGCCACTAAAATTGTCAGAAGTCTCACTCAGCACCGGGATCCTTCACTGCTAATTAAGCAGGGTCAAACTCTGTGCTCAGATACACTTGAAAATGTGGAGTCGCTTGGTTGATATTAACCGAGAGCAACATTTGGCCGTTAGTTGACATTGGAAACACTCAACTTGCTGATCACATGGGAAAACATCTGGCCATTCTAGTCTGCCCCTGAAGACCAGGCTTCCCAACTGCCAGCAATAACGTTTTCAATACTAAATATTTTGCGTCTGTAATAATTGAAAAAAGCGTTGGCTGGCTGTTTAAATTTCTGGAAAAACACACGAGCCTGTCACAAGGGTGAGTATCAAAGGTTGTAATAGGGTTTAGAAACTGCGTTGCTGGCGAGAGGGAGGCCACGATTGGATTTTATTATTGAATGAATTGAATAAACAAAATGAGGTCCGAAAAAAGCTACAGGTTGGACCTCCCTGGTCCTGTACTCTTGGGACCTGAGCCATCCCAAATGAGGGAAATTGCCAGATCAGGGGAGGTTCCTTGCCAGGCCTTTCAGGATACTTCCTCTCCCTCCTGCTGGCTGCGCTCCAGCCCCATTGCCACTGGGCTTGGGTTCGGCACGCTGCTGCCCTCCAGCTGGGCTCTCCGGGGACGGAGCTCCCCAGCCCTCGCGACCCTGCTTCTATCCCTCCCGGGGTTTCCTGGGGACTGGGCTCCATGTTTGCCCTGCTGCTGCCGCACCAGGACAGCGCCCTCCAGGGACGGGCCTCACTGGTTTTGCTGCTGCCCTGCCTGGCCGGGGCTCTCTGGGGACGGGCCTCGCCACTCTAATGCTGGGGCTGCCCTCCATGACTGGCTCGCATTCCCAAGCACTGGGGCTCTCTGGTCCAGCAACATCCATGACCCTGCTGGACCACGGATGTTGCCGGACCAGAGAGTCCTGAATTGAAGAGGTTCGACCTGTATTTGTGTTAGGGTGAGGTTAAGGGACATGCAGGTCGCTCTGTGGTTCTGAAGACGGGCAAACAGCTGGCTCTGACTTCTGGCACAGGATTGTCACGTCCTTCTCTAGGGCCAGGAGCAAACTGTGTGAAGTCGGGGGGGGGGGGGGGAGGAAACGGAATGTGTTGGCTGAAGCAATTCATCAAGTGGCGAATTAAAAGCAGCCTGCTTCGTGAGAAGTACATCTCTTTGTGGTGCTCCAATACATCCTGCCTTACCCTCCCAAAAAGAGACATTGGTACTCACTGCAGCGTCCAGGTCTTTTTAAGTCGGGTGGGGAACCTCTTTTGGGTTGGTGGGGGTCACTGACCCACAGAAAAATCAGTCGGGGCCCCCAGCTGAGAAGGAGAAAGATGCTCCCCACATTCCCCTCATACACCAGAGCCTGGCGGGGGGAGGGGCCCCAACCTAGGTGGTTTTATGTACTCCAGCCTCACAGTTGAGTGGGAGGGGCTGGAATACCAGTGCAGGCTCCCCAAGGCTGGGGGGGAGGGGCTGAGCCTCTGGGGGCCAGATACAGGCAAGCCAGGGGCCACATTTGGCCCCTGGGCCTTTGGTTCCACCCCCGTTTTAAGTGAATAAACTAGAAATAGCAATTGGCGTGCATACCAAGAAGTCAGTGTTTGTGTGTGGGGAGGGGAAAGGGGGGTCAGAGAGGCCATTTTGGTGTTAATTACTGTCTAAAAATGCATTTCTGCTAATTATCTTACCGTATGTGCTGCATACTGTAAATAAAAACCGAAGACGGCTTTTTAGCATAGTCAGCAATGGACAAAATTTGGGTCTTCACAGGGTACCGCTGTGTTTCTCCCAAGTCTGTTCATGGATAAGGCCTTGATTCTGCATACTTAATTGATGTCCACTAGTTGCCAGAATAAAGAATTTAGGCTTGAGATGTGTGTGCACGCCCGTTGTATATAGCTATATATACGTGTCTATTTTTAAATATTCTTTATATAGTTTTTAATGATTTACTTTTAATTTTTCAGGTGACCATTTGAAAGTATGTCCGCAAGGTTACACTTGCTGTTCTCAGGAAATGGAAGAGAAGTACAGTCAGCAGAGTAAACACGACTTCAGAAATGCGGTAGTAGAACTTAGCAGTCACTTACAGACAACATTTAGTTCCCGTTACAAAAAGTTTGATGGTAAGTACTGGAGTTTCGAATTTTCTGTCCTACTGCTACAACTTAAAAATCATCATTGTGTTCATTTATATGCTGTTTGCTTGTACTGTCTCTTTCACGGTTCACTTGGAAAGTTCATGACTCACCATTGGCAGTGGTGAGGTTAGATAGAACGTTGCTTATTTTGCAATCCAAGGCAAGAGAAATATTTGCTGATTATGGCTGTTAGTTTCCCATAGGGATAGATCTTTTTCTTTCTGATTCATTTTTAGGAAATCCAATCTGCTCTAAATGTAGACCACAGTGAGTTTTGTTTCTGTATCCCTGCAAAATGTTTAATGATAATGTGCGTAACTCTCAGCATTGATCGACATAAATGCTGACGCTTTCCCAGAATGGTAAGAGCTAAAAGATGAAACTAGTCGCCAGTGCTAACCAGAGCAGTGAGTAAAGTACTGCTTCCTTTCATATGAAGGCCACGGTTCCCCTTATTTTGAAGGTCTCCAGAACTTTTTTGCAGGACTTTTTGATTCAGTCACTGTTCCAGTGTGCATGGATTTTCTCTGAATATCTGGCACATCTGCTCAGAGCTTGGAATGGGTAAAATTTTTATTTAACGTACATGCCTCTATTTCTATGTATTAAACATAAAGGAGTTACTGTGTGTGCTTCTAATGCACTAAAGAGGTAGGAGCAGCTTGCTTTCAAAGTACATCAGAGCTTGGATGATTTTAAACAAGTTAAGGCTGTTAAGATTGTTAGAAAGGTGAAGTGATACTGCACAAGTGTGCTCTAGCCAAACATTTCCCTCATATAACTTCGTTTGAGGTTTCCACTGTCTCCTCTCTCTACCTGCTGATGTTCAGAGGAGTCATCATAGAACCATAGAGCTGGAAGAGACCTCAGAAGGTCATCAAGTCCAGCCCCCTGCTCTAGGCAGGACCAATCCCAACTAAATCACCCCGGCCAGGGCTTTGTCAAGCCGAGACTTAAACACCTCTAGGGATGGAGACTCCACTACTTCCCTAGGGAACCCATTCCAGTGCTTCACTACCCTCCTAGTGAAATAGTTTTTCCTAATATTCAAACTGGACCTCTCCCACCACAACTTGAGCCCATTGCTCCTTGTTCTGCCATCTGTCACTACTGAGAACAGCCTTTCTCCAAAAAAGCCGAAGTGTCTAGACTCGCAGATTTATTAAATGCCGAACCAGACCCGAAATGGAATCTAGTCCATAGATAAGCCCCTGAAAGGGAACCGGAGAAATACCTGGGTTTCACCTCAGATGACTTTGTTAAACAATGTTGTATCTGAAAACACACGTATTTAAGCAGTTTATCATGTAACCTGGCACAGGCATACCTATTGTCAGTTAGGTGTGTCTGCCTGTTTTTATGATGTGTTGCAGTGCTCTTTGGAAAAAATTAATATAGTTGAAATCTTCAAAGTACAAACTTTAATACATGAGAATGTGCCTTAACAAGAGCCCTTATTTTATGCCTGCTGACGTTTTAACCTTCAGGATAATTAACGATCTAAGAAGAATAATCATCCTTAACTACGTGACCTTGAGCTAATCAGGAAGCAGGGGAAGAACTCTTCTAGGAGAGGGATTGTCCTTAACTCTTTCAGGGATGGTTAAAGAAACATTTGATATATGATAGGAAAGCGTGTTAAAGTCTAAGGCCAACACTTTCCAACCTGGCTATCTAAAGTCAAGCTTCTAAATCTATACTTAAAGGCCTATCACAATGGCTTGATTTTTTCAAAATGGCGGCATAGCCAGCAGCTTGCAACCACTTACCTACGCGGTAATACATTAGGTGCCTTTTAAAAGTGTTGGCCTAAATCAGTAACACCAATACCGTTCGTTTGGAATGTTTCTTGCAAGTCAAAGTTGGTTGAAATTCCCGTGTACTCAGATGTGACGACATTGGTCCAGAACGCAAAATGAAAAAATCTTGGTCCCAAATTATGTTCTGTCGGCCGAAGGTAAGATTTGAAAAGCAGGCGCTCCCTTGCAGAAGCGTGGTGTTCTTCTTGCCACGGCCCTTGATTATGTGGGAATTCCTTCAGGCGCTGCCTTGTAGAAGTTTCTAGAGGCCAACTAATTCAAATGACAATAAGGCTGACTGAAAACAAACCTTGGTTTTCCTGTGCCTACTATAAAATTCTCAATTCCATTGACGGAGGAGGCAAGAGGAGTTTCTGCAAAGAACCTATATTCCCATAACAAACCGAGATTGCAGTTCATTTTTGGGAAAGGAATGTTTCCAGTCATCCCTGCTGAAGGTTTTTCTGGCGTAGTGTCACATCTGTGGTGAGACCTAGTAGCATACAGCCAGTTGTTTTGAATGGCTGGCTGTGTCCTTGAGTCAAACCCTTTAGGGGCTTTGGAAAAAACCATTGTGGGTCATGCTGCTAATCTGTTAGCCTTGACATTCAATCTTGAAAGGAAGACCCTTTGATTTTAAAGCATTGCTCTGGTTTTGACCTTTGTAGCAGTTGCCATAATGAAATGTAAGCAGCAAGAAGCTGCGGTGTCCCTGAGGTGGGGGATGAAGTGTCTGGTGGCTGGTGGGATTTTCCCCAGGTTGAAGTCTGATCGTCAGAATTGCATAGATCTGGCATGGCAGGGAGTGGGTTCATACGCGATCTGCATTTTACTAAGGAAAACAAAACAAACTTCTGATATTTAGCATCTCTAAATGAGAAACCAGAAGTAACTTCAGCGCCTCATGGTCTACATTATACATTGGGGTTCGAGCTGTGTGTGTTCTGAATTTTCGGAGGGTGAGAGAATGGCGCTCTTAGGACCAAATAGCTTTATCTCCAATTGAAACATACCCGTAGAACATGGCAGCATGACAGTCTGGGCTCCCCATAAGCCTTTTCTACAGCCACTTGAACCACATTTCTGCGCGTAATAAAGCATAGACATATAAGATACATATTCTGAAAAGTGGAATAATTAAGTTGCTCTGGTGGTTAATCTGGTGGACAAGTTTCAAAGGGGTCACCATGTTAGTCTGCTTCAACAAAAACAATGAGGAGTCCCGTGGCACCTTAAAGACTAACACATTTATTTGGCACCCGCGTCTGTTAGCTGCTCCAGCCCACAGAAGTTCATGCTTGAGTAAATTTGTTACTCTCTAAGGTGCCAAAGGGCTCCTTGTTGTTCCGATCTAGTAAAAGGAGATGGATTCCTTCTCTCTGGCAACCTAAACGGTAAACACCGGATGTCTTGCTAAAATATATGCTGTAGCTCAGACAAGCGCTATCAGCTTGATGCAGAAATTATTGAGTGAGATTGTTATGCTCTAGAAGTCAGACTACATGATTAGTGGTCCCTTCTGGCCTTAAAACCTATGAATCATAGCAGCAGCAATAGCAATTTCTGCGATTGAGGTTGCATTTACCCTTGTTTTTGGTTGCTTACGGTTTTCATTAGTTTTCATCTTTCAAGCTGGAATTTTCCATCCTTAGGTCTCTTCTTGGTGGTTAATATTTGGGGAGGATGAAGAGAGGGCTGTAGCAAAAATGATCCAGTCTTTTATAAGCATGAGGATGTGGAAATACTTGTTAGAGGGGATGGGGCCTCATATAGATTATTCTTCCGCTGTTGTTCTGTGGCTCCTTCGTTTAGGCTTATTTTACGACATACATTTCTTGGCAGACTTTTAAAATGATCACTGCCTGTTGAGGAAGTTGTGCTAATTTTGTTGCGTGATGGTTCATATGGCATAGTTCTGATGCCCCTAAATAGTAAAATGTCATGAAACGCTCCCAGAACGTAAATTATGACGAGAGTACGGTACGTGCCTTGGAATCACAGAATGCTAGGAATGTCCAGCTGGAACTGACCTTGAGAGCTCATTTCGATCCAGCCCCCTGCACTGAGACCAGACTGCAATGTTGGGGATTCCACAGCTTCCCTAGAAAACCTGGTCCAGTGCAGAATTGATCTCAGAGAAAGCTTTCTTGGTGTGTTTGTCATACGTAAGCTGCTTAGGGCAGGGACTTAGCAGAGCACGATGAGGCCCTTACCATGGCTGGGGCATATGAGTGCCATAGCAATACGAGTAAATAATATCGATGATGCCATGAGTTCAAGAGGCATCTGATGATTTTCTTTATAAGTGTTTCTAGTGCAATTAAATGATGACTGCTTGACTCTTCCTATGATATAGCATGGGGATTAGCACAAGCTAGCAAGACTCAACCCTTCAGAGCTTTGCTATGCTTCAGATACTGTACTCGGATGATATGCACATCAGGGCAAACATGAAATGATCAAAAGTCTCAGGGGTCACCTTTCTAGTCTGTCACTTTAAAAACGAGCAGTCTGTGGCACCTTAGAGACTAACAAATATCGTGGGTAAAACCCACTTTGTCAGATGAGTTGGAGTGGAAATTGGAGTATATAGTTACCCGTCAATTGTGGAACCAGTCCTAATGATGCCAGTTGAGTCAGGCTGCATGTGTCCCATTCAGAGCTTTTGATGTGTAAATGTGAATATCAAAGCTGGGGAAAGTGCCTTGATAGTGCGTTAACCAGTTAATAGCTTTATTCAAGCCCAAGTTGATAGTGTTAAATTTGTAAATGAATTCCAGTTCAGCTATCTCCCTCTATAATTGGATGATAAAATTCCTTTGTAGAAGAATGGCTACTTTTGTCTCCATTAAGGAATGTCCAGGGAGGTTACAATGTTTCCCTATAGGGTTATGTGTGCTACCGTTCTTGATGTCTGATTTGTGTCCATTCAGCCTTTGTCACAGAGATGGTCCGGTTTTGGAATGAAATGATCAGTTCACAGGCCGGAATGCCCAAGTGACAAAATAATTCTGCCCAGCATAAGCCAGCATCTGGAAAGTTATTACATGCTGAGAGCTCTCCTTCCATCCGCCTCCATCCCAATTTTTCCATTAACATTTAAGATAAAACAAATATGAAAAGAGTAAAACGAAACCCTTTTGGGGGCTGAAACCAAGCAAACGGACTCCTCCCAGTGGTCACTGT